GTTTTTGTTGTTGTTGTTTTAGGTCAACTGTCAATTGCTGCTGGCAGCGGCAATAAACGGCTTAAAGTTTTCTTTTTCTCCGTGCCAAACTGCAGTTTTTGTTCAAGTGAGATAAGTGGAGTTCACTGCTACCATACGGTGCTCAACAACAAATAATCAGCCGAATGATGGCTCTTGTCTCCAAAAACTTGGAGGCCGCATCACTTGTATCTCAAGGCACCGCCCAAGGTCAACGCTTGTCCTGCACAATCGAGTGGACGATGCAGGGAGCAGATGAGCAAATAAAAGCAGTTTATTAAACGGGACCGGGGGGAGACGCCATGCAGTGCGGCGTTGGGTTTTTCGTTGCCGGGGAGATGGGCGGGAAGACGTCATGAAACATTGGCGCAAGTGGACAACCGTTACCTGGGTCCCCATTTAATGTTGGTCAGGCCTTGAAATTGTCTTTTGAGGGCCTGCCGGTCGGACCACTCCGAGTCCATGTAGCTGTCGTCGTCCGCCTCTTCTAATTTCTAAAACCCGAACCCAACAAGTGCAGTCAACACAACTTTTTCATTTATTCATTTGAGGTCGTTTTGTGACATTTGGCTGACCTTGAGCTCCTCCTGCCTCCTGTAGTAATGCAGCATCATCTGCTTGTGCTGCTCATTGGTGACCAGAGGCTCCCTCGCCGGCGCCCCCTGTCCTTTCTGCAAGGCAACAGCAGCACGACATCTTCACAAATTGCGCCCCTCAATTTAGCCACAGGGTTCGCCATCTCTTTAACTTTGACGTCTCAGCAAACCTACAATAGAAGTCAGCGGCGCGCCGCTCGGCGTGTCTGAACCTCGTTTGTCAATCAAACCCCAAGGCGCCCCCCCAAAAAAGAGCTTTGGCGCTGCTCATGGCGTTGTGCGCTCTCACCTTCTGGATTTTGACCACCAGCTTGGTCTTGTCGTTCTTGCCGATGTAGTCCTGCAGCTTCTTGCCTCGCTGCATCTCCTTGGCGGCCCACCACAGCTGGCACTCGGACTCCTCCAGGACCTGCAGCGATGCCTGAGGGGAGAGGAGGACCCTGCCTCAACTCAAGCCGAGGGCTTGACAATTTGGCCTTTCTATACAATAAATTTCCCCAAATCACATTTCCAATGTGAATCTAAAGTCTGTTTCGCCTTCAAATATAGAAACCGCAAATGACCATGTTATTATTCAAAACAAATGTGGCTTTTCAAATCGAGTGAGGTCAGAATCATTGGTTTAAGATATTTCTTTTATTGCTTAATTCTGGACTGAAACCACGAGTGAAATAATTTTGATCCCCCATCCCCCACAAAAATGTTGGGAGCGAAATTTCCGCTTCGAA